ACCCGCGGGCTCAGGCAATCCACTCACCTCAGCCTCCCAAAGGCACGGGCTCAGGCAATCCACTCACCTCAGCCTCCCAAAGGCGCGGGATTACAGGCTGAGCCACCAAGCCCGGCTTAAAATATCATTTTTAATATGTTTTTTAGAGGAAGGGACCCATGAAGGCAAGAGTGCCTAGGGCCCACAAAAGGCAAAATGGGGCCCCAGTGGAGCCAGAATTCAAATCCAGGTCTGTCTGTCTCCAAAGTTTATGTTCTCACTAGTCTAGTTTAACCCCATTTTGCAGGTGAGGAAATTGGGGTCCAAGACCACAACAAACAGGTGGCAGAGCCAAGCAGAGGTTGCAAGCTTCCCGTGGTCCAATCACCATATCATGTGGTCTGACAGCGCCACCTGGTGGCTTTTCAAGAACTCCCCTTTAGTCAAAAAAATGAACCTAAAGAGAGAAAGAGCACACAGGTCTTGACACCCTCCCCACCCCACCCCCACCACGCCACAAAGAAACCACAAGCCAGTCTGCATTTGGGTGCTGCACTTAGCGGCGGGGAAGCCAGGCCAAGTAGCCAATTCCATGCCCTCTCTCAGCTGTCCTTGGGATTCACACATCCCGCCCTTACACACACACACACACACAAACACAACCTCTCCTAGAGTAACAGCATCATCCCCCAGCGTTAATATTTGTAAAGTGCTTGGATAAGTCCTGTCCACTAGAAGTATACTGTCAAAGGCTGGGCACGATGGCTCAAGCCTGTAATCCCAGCACTTTGGGAGGCCAAGGTGAGAGGATTGCCTGAGCTCAGGGGTTCACAACCAACCTGGGCAACTTGGTGAGATCTTGTCTCTACAGTTAACCAAAAAATAAGTCAGCCATGGTGGTGCACACCTGTAGTTCCAGCTATTTGGAAGGCTGAGGTGGAAGGATCGCCGGAGCCCAGCAGGTCAAGGCTCCGGTGGCTGTGAGCATGCCACTGCACTCCAGCCTGGGCAACAGAGTGAGACTCCAACTCAAAAACAAAAAAAGAAGTATAATGTCATGTAACTTGAAATTTTATGGTAGTCGCATTTTAAAAAGTAAAAATAAACTGAAATTAATTTTAGTATATTTTATTTAACCCAGAAGTCAGCAAGCTATAGCCTGTGGGTAAAATCTGCCCCACATCTGTTTTGTTTTGTTTTGCTTTTGAATCAGAGTCTTACTGTCACCCAGGCTGGAGTGCAGTGGCATGCTTACGGCCACCACAGTCTAGACCTGCTGAGCTAGGTGATCCTTCCACCTCAGTCTTCCAA